AGCAAGTTACACATTATTAATGCTAATAATGCTAATGCTAATAATGCTCATGCAAGGATAATAAAATGGCGGCTCTACAAAACATTTCAGAGTTGTACGGGGCGTGGTTTGCAATTCGCCCAGCCAATCAGAACTGGGGCACTTTTTTACCCCAGGAAAGTACCATCTCTCAGCAGGTACTAAAAATGGGGGTAAAAGTTCCCGAAATTACAGATGGAGCATCTTATTTCAGACAGTTTGAAACGCGAGGGTCGTGATTGGTCCGTGATCGGCCCGTGATCGGTTCGTGATGAAGAGCCGGCCCCCAGTCTGACTTGATACCGCCCCCGTGATAAATAAATGTAATTATTGTGAAGCCAGCTGCAATGGATCATTGATCCACCAGGGGGTGCAGTGGGGTTCAACACTGGAGCTCATGTGAAATCAACTTCGATACAGTAAACTGGATGTTGTGGTGCCGAGAGACGGGAGTCGGAGGCGGGGTATCAAAAGTACAAGCTAAACTTTTATTTAGCATCTGAACACACATGTAAACAACTTCATGCCTGGGAAGCGAAGACCGGCGGAAACAGCTGGTCCGGTTCACTAAAATGTCCGTGCGGAACAATACCCCAACCCATAGATCCGTGGGTGAATAATGTCAATCACCACAATGTACAGTATGTCTGGTACTAATGTATAGCAGATCTTTGTTAAGATCCATATGTCACGGATAGTATCATAGTCTGTGCTAAATAAGACATGTAATCATTTACAAAACATCACCATGTTGTTATTTAACAAAATAATGTTGTTTAGTCGAAAAAAACGAACGAGAGGAAATGCAGCCGGCTCTCGATTTGTAATCCTAATTTAATCACGATCATTTATGTTTATGTTCGCCGAATTGACATGAAATCACTGACAAATATGAATATACTGTATTCAACTTCATTCAAATGTTATTAACGTGCCTAAACTCAGTAACTCAGTAAACTTGTCAGGCAGATCAAGATCCCTGGGTGTTATTCTTCCCCATAATGACCAAGTCGCTGCAAATTATCCCGCTTATTACATGGCCACATTCTCAACAAAGTAACGACATGACTCCCAATATTAATTGAAATGCTTTTATGGATTTAGAAAATGTTTTTATTGATTGAAAAAATAGTTGTATGTATTGATTTAAATTGACATGCATCCGCTAAGAAAAATAGTCCGTTGTTACCGTTTTTAACAGTCAGAATGAAACGGCAGCTCTCAGCTGTGTGTATTTTCCAACAGTTAAGTTAACTGTAGGTTACTCTGAGTGACAAGCTTACAGTTAGTGAAGTAACACTTTTTTTTTGTGAGTCACGACCTGGCTGTTTCATTCTAATAACGCTCCAAATATGACAAATAAAGTCAAAATGTCAGTGTTTACAAACATTGACCATACCGTTCACCAGCCCCCACCCCCCTATGTTGAGTAGGCTATACTTTCTGTTTAAAACTAATTGGCCATCGGAATGTGTGTGTCCCAACCTGTGATATCTCTTCTCCAGCAGTCTGTAGGTTTGTGTTCGCATATCTATGCTGTCGCAGTTCCTGTTGTTTCTATCGTGCATTGCCGGTATGAAAGGGTCTGTGCCGGAAATATCAAGATAACACGGCAGGGTCCGTTACAGTTTGTTTTCATCTGATTTCAAATAAACAAAGTCTTGGCTTTCAGAATATTAAACTAGTTTCGGCAAATTTAGATGATAAATACAACTATGAAGCTTGTAACGGCATAATTACTTAAGCGGAGAACGGAGTAATTTAACGTTACAGCAGGCATAACAACAGCCGGTGTTTATTTTATTATTATATATAGTCATTATTCATTTGTTTTAAAGCTCAATAAGGAAGATTTAAACTTTCACACACGTTGACCGGCGAAAAACTCTGCCCGGTTCCCTCGGCCCCCACCACGTTGAATAAACAGAAGGCTGCTTTTGTGGAGGAAGTTACAGCGCTACGTACAGGCTCGGCATATGCAGCTTTTTCCAGCGGTATCCATAAATCTCTTAATTTTGACCTCAAAGTGCACCAAAAGAAAAACATCTTCTGTTGTAACAACAATAACATTATAAATAGTAACATAGCTGAACATGACTGAGGCTTTTTAACATAGACTTTTCCAATGTCTGAGTGTAATATCTGCATTTTCTATTTTGGTTTGATAAGGACACATCCTGGGGATTGTGTTTACAAACATTCACCATCCCCCACCCCCCTACTGTATGTTGATTTTGTTTGCCTACATGTAAATGGGTGGCATTTAGTACCTACCCCCCTCTGAGTGAATACCTGTTGTACCTGTCCGGGGCTAAGCCCATAGGACGATGCTCTGATGTCAACCCCCCCCCTGTTGACAATTCACGAGCGTCTAATGGCGCGTTTCCACTACAGCGCGGAGCACGGTTTAAGAGGGCTGTGACGTCAGCGGCCCGTTTTTGGTTGCGTTTCCACTTGGCCTAATACCGGCCGGCGGGTCCTAATTCACAGTTTTTCTGGCCTCATAAAATCGTGGGTCTAGGGCCAGAGACAACGAGGCTGAGTCGGGCTGAGTATGCTAAACTAGAGAGAGAATCGCTGGCAAGGGGGCTACAACTACAACAAGATGGACATATTTGACCGTGATTTAATTGTAATACACGTTTCAAAATGATGCCGAAGTAACAACATACTGATACCGGTTAGTAAAAACCATGAATTAATGTTTTGTCAAGTCTGCAGACAGACGGCAGGCGAAAAACCTTTTAAAATGCGTGTTTTCTAAATGGAGATTGGCTAAGCTAACGCAGTATATGCTCCGACCGTCCACACTCACAACAACGGCCTATACAGACATAAATAAAGCAGCGACTGTATTCACCATGACACAGGCAGTCTGTGGTTTGTACTTGTTTAACTTTTGTCTAGTTTCTGAACATATATGAGGAGCTGTGAGCTCTGAGTGCTAACAGCTAACGGCTGTGTTGTTTTTCTGGGGTTCTCATTGAAGATGACGTCACGGCTCCGCCTACACTGCGTTACTATAGATACTACCCCAGTTCCTAAACTGTAATGGAAATGCGCCATAAAGTGAGCCAGTCCTAACGAGGCCTAGCCATACCGAGAGAGGCCGAGCAAGGCCGTGTAGTGGAAACGCGCCATAACTCTCTCCCCCCTCCCCCGTCGCACCTTCTAACAGAGCCCCCCCACATATCAAATCCCAATTGAACCCCTGGCCTCTGGAGCAGAAATGAAAGAGTTTTAAAAATGTTTACGTTTTGGTAAGTTTTTAGGGAAATGTTGTAATATTGCAACGTTGGCCTTAGGTGGGAGCAGAATTTCTGTCTTTCTACTCACATTGTCTGAATAACTATATTGAAAAACTAAGGGTTAATTTGCAGGATTGATTGCTTTAAGTAAGCTAAGGCCCTATATCAGTATATAGCATGAATAATAATCACACATCACTCATATTTGTTATGAATAATCATTTATCATTTATTAAATAGTAAGTCGCTTTGGATAAAAGCATCAGCTAAATGCAATTTATGAAAGCCTCACTCAGGATTTTTTTAACAAGTGTTTTTATTGCTCTTGGGGCATTAAAAACAAGATTTTAACTTTAGTTTTTTATATAATATCTGCATTTTCTCTTGTGAAAAACTAAATCTTAGTTTGGCCATAGTTATTTAATATATAGCGCCATCTCCTGGTTAAATCCTGAAATTGAAAATCTGGCAACGCCCTCTTGGAAAATAGTGGGAGGGCTTAACATTCCCAGATACTGGTCTTTGGCAGGTCTTAGGCAGGTAACTGGCTGGTAGTAGGCAGGAAGCTGTATGCTGGAGTCTGAAATAAGATGCTCCATCTGTAAATACTCTTTTTGGTGTGAACGCGACATAAGGGGTACTAACGGAACTAAATGCGAAAAGTACGGTGAAAAGTACTCCGGTGTGAACGCGCCTATTGTGCAGATTGGTCCATTTCAGAATAATATAAGTTTTATAATTATTGATCATATCAGGTATTAAATATATGTAGTGGAGTAAAAGTACACCATGTACCTCTGAACTGTAGAGGAGTAGAACTACTAAGTAGCATAAAATGGAAATACTCAGGTAAAGTACAAGTACCTCAACATTGTACTTAAGTACAGTCCTTGAGTAAATGTACTTAGTTCCTCTCCTGATCTGTAAAGCTCTCCCAACATATGCAGGTTAGCATCCGGAAGCTTCTATGTGCTGGGGACCCGTACTGTACATTTCTCTCATCACACTTTGGGCTCCTCAACATGTGTGGGTTCCCAGCAGGACTCTCTGAGCTGCAGACACATTCTTTCTGTGACTTTGTTCCAGATATTTGGAGCATAATAACTGAAGCTGTTTCTCCATGTTCAGGAACTCCCATCCCCCGAGTCCTGCGGCAGGAAGCGCTCCTTCTCTCCAAGAACTCCTGGACCCTGCAAGCTGGTCCAGAACCAGAGTCCCAGTGAGGAGTCCAGCCAGTCCACCTCTCAGAGTTAAACTAAACTACAACATTATTAAAGATCATGTTTAAAGTTAAAAAAAGGATGCTTTCAGACTGAATCCAGAAGTTTCTCAAGCTGCAGTCAAAGCAGGTCATTTGAGAAATATATAAAACAATTATAAAACTGTAATAAGAATTACTCTGAATACTTTCTTTGGACATTTTATTTACATTTTATTTACATTTATTTCAAATCTTTCTGACGAGTGCTTTTCTCATGAATTAACGACTTCATTTCACTTCTTTTTCATTTCCATCTTTATTTCGAACAGATTAAAAAAACAAATAAAAAATAACAAATGTGAAAAACAGAATACCGTATTGTTAGAATACAGTATTTATCAATATTCATATTAATAATAATAATAAATCATATGTGTCCGAAAGGGAGCGGGAGGAAGCAAATGCTTATTAATTCCCACCCCTTACCGCTGATCAATGATTATCCTTTAAATCATTTCTGCAAGTTATTCCTACTTACATATTTACATTTATACATACATTTACAATCATTTCTCATCTTCAATCACCTTAAATCATTCTCATAGTTTTCCAAGAAAGTGTTTCTGTACATCCTTTTAAAGTGAATTATATTTGTGCTTTGTTTGAACTCCTGCTCCAAACCGTTCCATCAAATCACCCCACAGATTGTTCTACTCATACTTCTCACAGTTGTTCTGACCTTGAGTTGTTTCAAATGTAGATTTCCTCTCAAATTATACCCGCCCTCTCTGTCTATGAACAATGTTTGTAATTTCCTAGGAAGTAGATTATGTCTTGCTCTGTACATGATTTGTGCCGTTTTAAATGTAACCAGATCAGTAAACTTCAGTGTGTGTGACTTCAAGAATAATGAATGAGTGTGTTCAAGATATCCAACATTATTGATTATTCTTATAGCCCTTTTTTGTAATGTGCATAACGGCTGTAGGTTGGTTTTGTAAGTGTTTCCCCAAATCTCCACACAGTAACTCAGACATGGCAATATGAGTGTATTATACAGAGCATAATGAGTTGTAGTCCAGAATGTGTCTTGCTTTCCCCAATATTGAGATAGTCTTAGCCAGTTTAGCTTTTACATGATTGATATGAGGTTTCCAGCTGATCTTGTGCTCTCAAACCACACCAAGGAACTTCATTTCATATACTCTTTCTATGTTTATGTTATCTAGTATTAATTGCACCTGAGGATTTGTTTTATGTTTTCCAAATAGCATAATATTTGTTTTGCTTAAATTTAATGTTAATTTGTTCTTAAATCTTTTTTTTTTTTCTTGTGTATTTCATAAACAGGATATTTGATTTTTTTATAATAAATATTATTTTCTCAGCTCTGTGATAAAAAAACAGATTTTAAAAATAAATATCCCACTTCTTGTACTTATATCCTGATTGATGAGTCAGCAGTAAAGCAGCCAGGCGTTAACGGTCAGCTGGCATGTGTATCTGTTCATTGGCTCATATGTGTAGCATGTTTAATGGCAGTGTGTTGAAAATGGCTGACAGGTGAATATGTCAGATCTCTGTGTGTTACTCAGAGAACCGTGTGCAGTGTTTTAGAAAGTGCAGAGTTGAATTGCAGATTGTGTGCAGAGCTGAAAATGTGTTTAGAGTTCTGTTTGATTTGATCCAGCCAGTTCTGCCACAGCAAAGCATAAGGGCTCAGAGCTTGGACCTATTGTGTTCACATTATATACGCTTCCTTTAGGCAATAAGGAATCACTCGGGACATTTTCATTGTTATGCGGATGATACTCAATTATACACAATATAGACAAAAGTATTGGACCACCTACACATTAGAGAGATACCGCAGGTCCTTCCTTCCTGCAGCGGTCAGACTATATAACCACCACGACCCCTAGTAGACCCCCCACACAACAACACAGACTATAACACCTATTATCATTTCTTTTTTTAATCTTTAATACTTTGTTGTATGCATGCTTTAGGTAACATGAAGCTGTCTCTGGCTCTTTCTGCTGTAACAATGTACATGTATCCTCTGTGGGACTAATAAAGGGATTCTGATTCTGATTAAATAAACTCAACATGTACACGTATACTGGTTGTTTTTTCAGTTTAGTTTTTATAGCGCATGGTGGAAAGGAGCAGGGAGAAGTACATCTCATTTTACCTGCCCCTTCTTAAAAAAGAAAAAAATTAAATAACCATAAAAAAGTAAAATAAAAGCATTATTATGTCACAGTTACAAATACTGAAACATAAAACCATCACAAGTCCACTTCATACTGTCTAGTTACGCTTTCTTTATACATTTTCTTAATTGTCATGCTGGATTTTCTTGTTCTCCCGTGCAGGTGAGGGCGGCCTGCAAAGCCTTCTGGGTAATATGAGCCACAACCAGCTGATGCAGCTCATCGGACCGACTGGACTGGGCGGGATCGGTACGGAGGAGAAACTCACAGAGTGTATCTGTCGTGGCTTCCTTCCTTGTTTATCTATCAAGCCACTAGACGCTTTAAACAGACATTTTATAACTTACATTACTTACAGTTGAAGAGACGAGAGATGTGTTTGCTCAAAATAAAATAACAAACTTTTACACATGCAAGAAAGAAAAGAGGGCTTTACAATAGTCAAAACAAAGAGGCAAATAAAATAACAAACAACTTAGGTATTCTTTCTGTCTTGATGAGGCTTATATAACTTCATAACTTAAAAGTTGAACGGTTAGAAACTGTTCCTCGACGCCGTCCTTCTGACAGGTTTCCCATCTCTGTCACTTTAAAGGAGGCGACGTGGGAATTGTAGTCTTTTATACTCTGGTTGACTACAGACGTCACGATTAGGTGGCCTTTCTTATAAAAACGAAATACTGGCTCTAACAATATGTCATGAATGTTATTTATGTTTAGTTTCTCTCAGATGATAACGTGATGTTTCGCCCTCAGGGGGCCTCGGGGCCCTCGCTGGCCCAGGATTGGCTAACCTGCTGGGCAGCAGCAGCTCCAGCAGTGTCCCTGCAGCCAGCAACTCCTCCACCAGGTCACTTTAAATATACATATTTTTATAACACTACATTTACTCCAAACAGCTGCTGACGGTGTGTGTGGACTACTTGGTGGCATATTTTTTAACGTACACGGTTTTGATTTAATTATGAAAGTGTGACCTCAGCTCCTATCAAAAGTCCATAATAAGCGTTTAGCCGAATAAAATATGTTCCATTCGAGACCCATTTTTATAAAATCCATCCCTGTATAATAGACTTGCTTTATATCTTGTTATTGTTCATTTGTAAATTCAACATGTATTTTTTCTACTTTCTTGTATTTTAATTTGTATTGTACAATGCCATGTCTTTTTATGCTGCTGCAACACAAACATGTCCCAAATTGGGATCTATAAAGTACTTCAGGGCCCTGGCTTTAGAAATGAACTTGCGACTATTCTCCACCAGAGGGAGACATTTTCCCATATTACCTTATGGGGGAAAATACATGCTATGGTTTCCTGCACAAAATAATTAAATGCCAAATAAAATTAAGAAAAGTGTTCAGAAAATACAGAACATTTTTATAATTTGAGTTATTTTATTTAGTTGAAGTGTGTAGAAGTTAAAAATCCTAACAGATGTTTGTTAAACATTTTATTCAGTGGATATTATAGTGATAGTGATCGTGGTGGTCTAATGGATAGTGAGGTGGGCTGAAGATCGGAAGGTTGTGAGTTCAAATCCCACCAGGAACATCACCACTAGTGTGCCCTTGAGTAAGGCACTTAGCCCTCAGTTACTCCAGGGAGAATGTCCCTGTAATTGGTCATTGTAAGTTGCTTTGGATAAAAGCGTCAGCTAAATGAAGTGTAATGTAAAATATTATATATTTATTTATAATGTCATGCCAGTATTTGATGCAGATAATACACAGGAGAATAATAAAAGTAAATACATTTAAAAAATATAAAAAATGTACCAGTGATGTTCAAGTAAAAACAGTTGCAAGAATCCTGACAAACATCAGATGAAGCCATACAAATTACAATAATAGAAATAATAATGATGGAACAAAATTATAATAATTAGTACAAATACAAAAATAATACATTGGTGAATAAAGAAAAAAAATACATTTAAAAAAATAATAATATGTAATAAATATAATAGAAATACAAGATTACATGGGTAAATAAATAAATAATATATATATATAAAATGACCCACTGATGTTCCTCTCTCTCCTCTCAGCCCGTCCACAGCCGTCACCCCCACCTCCTCCTCAGCCTCCAGCCGCCTCGGCTCCGCCCAGGTTCCCACCCCCCCCCTCACTCCCGTCACCCCCCACCAACACCTCCGTCACCTTTACTAAAGCACAGATCTGAGTACTTGTACCTTTGCTAAAGCACAGATGTGAGTACTTGTACCTTTACTAAAGCACAGATGTGAGTACTTGTACCTTTACTAAAGCACAGATCTGAGTACTTGTACCTTTACTAAAGCACAGATCTGAGTACTTGTACCTTTGCTAAAGCACAGATCTGAGTACTTGTACCTTTGCTAAAGCACAGATGTGAGTACTTGTACCTTTACTAAAGCACATATCTGAGTACTTGTACCTTTACTAAAGCACATATCTGAGTACTTGTACCTTTACTAAAGCACAGATGTGAGTACTTGTACCTTTACTAAAGCACAGATGTGAGTACTTGTACCTTTACTAAAGCACAGATGTGAGTACTTGTACCTTTACTAAAGCACAGATCTGAGTACTTGTACCTTTGCTAAAGCACAGATCTGAGTACTTGTACCTTTGCTAAAGCACAGATGTGAGTACTTGTACCTTTACTAAAGCACATATCTGAGTACTTGTACCTTTACTAAAGCACAGATCTGAGTACTTGTACCTTTACTAAAGCACAGATCTGAGTACTTGTACCTTTGCTAAAGCACAGATGTGAGTACTTGTACCTTTGCTAAAGCACAGATGTGAGTACTTGTACCTTTGCTAAAGCACAGATGTGAGTACTTGTACCTTTGCTAAAGCACAGATCTGAGTACTTGTACCTTTGCTAAAGCACAGATCTGAGTACTTGTACCTTTACTAAAGCACAGATCTGAGTACTTGTACCTTTACTAAAGCACAGATCTGAGTACTTGTACCTTTACTAAAGCACAGATCTGAGTACTTGTACCTTTACTAAAGCACAGATCTGAGTACTTGTACCTTTACTAAAGCACAGATCTGAGTACTTGTACCTTTACTAAAGCACAGATCTGAGTACTTGTACCTTTACTAAAGCACAGATCTGAGTACTTGTGCCTTTACTAAAGCACAGATGTGAGTGCTTGTACCTTTACTAAAGCACAGATGTGAGTACTTGTACCTTTACTAAAGCACAGATCTGAGTACTTGTACCTTTGCTAAAGCACAGATCTGAGTACTTGTACCTTTGCTAAAGCACAGATCTGAGTACTTGTACCTTTACTAAAGCACAGATCTGAGTACTTGTACCTTTGCTAAAGCACAGATGTGAGTACTTGTACCTTTGCTAAAGCACAGATCTGAGTACTTGTACCTTTGCTAAAGCACAGATGTGAGTACTTGTACCTTTACTAAAGCACAGATGTGAGTACTTGTACCTTTACTAAAGCACAGATGTGAGTTCTTGTACCTTTGCTAAAGCACAGATCTGAGTACTTGTACCTTTGCTAAAGCACAGATCTGAGTACTTGTACCTTTACTAAAGCACAGATCTGAGTACTTGTACCTTTGCTAAAGCACAGATGTGGTTTCTGCAGTGGATCTGTCCAGCGTGCTCACCCCGGAGGTCATGGCTCCCATCCTGTCTCACCCCGAGGTGCAGCAGCGTCTCTCTCCCTTCCTCCCCTCCGGAGAGTCTCTCCCTCAGAGCAGCGAGGAGCTGAACAACACTCTCAGCTCGCCTCAGTTCCAGCAGGTATCAATATCATCCTCAATACGTCTGATTGAGTTCAGTGCCAACATGTTGCTTCCTCATGTTCATTTAACACCGCCATGTTTATGAGAGATACGGACGTTTGTATATAAAATACTTCTACCTTTTTACTGTGTGTGTGTGTGTGTGTGTGTGTGTGTGTGTGTGTGTGTGTGTGTGTGTGTGTGTGTGGTGTGTGTGTGTGTGTGTGTGTGTGTGTGTGTGTGTGTGTGTGTGTGTGTGTGTGTGTGTGTGTGTGTGTGTGGGTGTGTGTGTGTGTGTGTGCAGGCGATGAGTATGTTCAGCAGTGTGCTGACCTTAGGTCTATGAGGTGTGATTTGTGCCAAAGAGCGAACTCACTGAGCAGACAATCGTGTCGGTCGTCGCCTACCATGCCGTGAACTATGCCGCGAGAGAAGTAACGTGACACTCTCGTCGCCACCCCCTCTCGTCTGAGAAGCTACGTGACGTCTGCGTCTGAAGTTACTTTACTTTGGTAGTTATCACCAAATAACCCAGTAATGTTACAGCTACGTTGCTGTTCAAGCTAGACTCTATTTCAATATAGTTTTGGTATTAAAATAATGTTACACCTCTTGTATGCCCTGAATGCAAAAAACAACCACAGACAAAAATATATATTTTTAATTATCAAAATGATAACAAAGGCTGAAAAAACAGGAGAAGCCTGTCTTCCCTTGGTCTCCAGGAGAAAACTGCATATCACCAAGTTTTCATAAAGTTTTCTGTGTGAAATAGATCGCTGCAGTGAACACGACTTTATGTATTTGTTTATGGTTTATTTGATTTGGAGGGATGCAGTATACATAGAAGTTCAGAGAAGAAGCAACCCCTATATATTGTTTATTTTATTTCATTTTGGCACCATGGCAGAGGCAAATATAGAGTTAATGTGCGGAGATTATAATGTCCCGTTTACTAAAATATGTATTGTTTTATGATGTTGGGTTGACAAAATAGTCACTGTGCTACATTTTGCTGCACTCAAGCATACATCTGAAGACAAGAGTTGTGTCCCCCTTTGGCCACAAGGGGGAGTATATATATATTGTATATATATATATTTTGTATAGATGTTGCAACTATACAGAGCTTTGGCAATACTATATGTAAATGAGGTCATGCTAATAAAGCTATTGAATTGAATTGAGTATACCTTTAAGTGAGCTGTCAGGAGGAAACAAAGGTTCGCCAACACATTGCACTTTAATGCTGAGAAAGTACAAAGACGTGAAACGATGTGCTGCAATGTCTGTATATTTTTGAAGAATGCCAAGTAAAGGAAGAAAGTAATAACTCGCACTGAGTCTTAATACATTACTTTATTTCTATTATATAACACTATCCAATGATTTATTATGTTTGTGTTACACACACCATTAACCTATACAACAATAGGGAGCCCTGGCTCAAGGACGGACAAAACAAGGACACCACACATGATTATTTTCCAATTACAGTATATTTATTTAAAGAGAGTAACTCAATTGTGATATCAGTTAATCAGTAATGTGTGTAGTGTACGGGTGTGTGATGTGTCAGCAGGGCCGGACTGGGACCATAGGTCAGGCCGGGAATTATACACCCAGCCAGGCCACTACTAGTTTTGTTTGGGGGCGTTTTGCTGGATGTATCGTCAATATTTACAACGTTGCTGCCTGTAGTGATAGCCCTACAGTTTGAATCTACTACTTAAATAGAAACATATGGACATAGGATATTGTTAAAAAAAAGGTGTGCATATGTATTTGGGAACCTTTCCATGTGAACATGTTTTATTTGGGGGTGGACCTCAAATGGATTAAACTCTGATCAATAACTATAGTAACTTATTGAGAGAACATGAACATAGCTTGCTTATACTGTTGTCATTACATTTCCTTTGGTTTGTTCAGTGTTTTCATAGTCATAGCCTATTGAAACAGTTTCCTCTGTACCTGCCAGTTCTGTCCACTGAGCTCTGTCTGCATCTCTCCCTCAGGGCCATCACCATCAGCATCATCTGATAGTGGAACTGAATAAGGAGAACATGTAATCATTACATTAACAACTATTTATGAAATAACATTATTCAAGAACATACATTATGCAACACTTATTTTATCACTTAGTTGACCCTGTATTTGCATGGCCTAATACCATAATGAGTGTCTCCCCTTTAGACAACATAACCATCTCAAGTGATTCACTCACAGTATGAGGGGTTTGTAGCCCCACAGTTAGCTGCAGTCTAACGGTTATATTACATATATTTGCCTTGAGTAACATTAAGGACATGTTTGGGTTTTGTGTAGCCTTATAGTCTCCAGTCACACAGGGCCTGCCACTAACTTAGCATTGGACTGAGAAACTGTTTTGTTGACAGTCGATGTGCACATCAGGCTACAATATAGAAAGAAATGTGGCTCATAATGTTCGCTCACTTACTTTCTGCTTCGTCATTCTATACCATACGGGCAGTTCTGAATAAATCAGTGATTTTAGCACATTTCGCTGCCTTTTTTTGCAGGATGGGGGTCCATCCTTCCACAATAATTAACCTTGCCGTCAGTTTCAGTCGGTCCAGTCCACACTAATGTAAACAGCAGCGCGCTGGTCTCGTGAGAAACGGAGAGTGGAACAACCAATCACATCTTCATTATTCTCCTGAAATTTAAATGTGCCCATTCGCCAGTCTGACACATAGACTGTATATATAAAGGTCTGGTCTGACAGGTGCGTGGTTCTCACTGCGCTTCATACCGGTGCAACTTTGAACACCTTCAATATATGCCGCATTAATGGATTTGGCCTGCATCTGGGCTGAATTAAACACGTATTATTTTAGTCCTGTGTGTTTATTATGGCGCAGTTCCACTACAGCGCGGAGCTCGCTTTAAGCGTGCCGTGTCGTGCCGTTCCCGTTTTTGGTTGCGCTTCCACTAGGCCTAGTTCCGGCCCGGCCCGGCCCGGGGCCACTTTTTCACGTCTTTTCTGGCCCGAGAAAATTGTGGTTCTATCGAGGCCAACAAACAGGGCTGAGTCGGGCTGAGTATGCTAAACTAGAGAGAGGAGCGCTGGCAAGGCGGCTACAACTACAACAAGATGGACATATTTGACCGTGATTTAATTGTAATACACGTTTCAAAATGATGCCGAAGTAACAACATACTGATACCGGTTAGTAAAAACCATGAATTAATGCTTTGTCAAGTCTGCAGACAGACGGCAGGCGAAAAACCTTTTAAAATGCGTATTTTTCTAGATGGAGATTGGCTAAACTAACGCAGTATATGCTCTGACCGTCCACACTCACAACAACGGCCTATACAGACATAAATAAAGCAGCGACTGTATTCACCATGACACAGGCAGTCTGTGGTTTGTACTTGTTTAACTTTTGTCTAGTTTCTGAACATATATAAGGAGCTGTGAGCTCTGAGTGCTAACAGCTAACGGCTGTGTTGTGTTTCTGGAGTTCTCATTGAAGATGACGTCACGGCTCCGCCTACACTGCGTTACTATAGTAACTACCCCAGTTCCTAAACTGTAATGGAAGTGCAGCATGAAGTGAGTCGGCCCTGTTAAGGCCAAGCCGTACCGAGCCGTACCGAGTGTGGCCGAGGCCGACCGTGTAGTGGAAATGTGCCATTAGAGGCCATGTCAGCAGGCCACATCACATCATGCCAGCGTTGCGTTCACAAGACATACAAGCCACAAACTGGCAATCGAAACATGCTACAACCTGAGGGACAGTGAATGAGACACACAGACACAGACACACCCACACACACCTTGAGGGAGGGAGGGACAGCTAATCGCCGTGCAGCGATCAGCTGTTCCCGAGCAGAGAGAGAGAGACAGCTGCTAGACACAACTCTTATTAATCCCCGTACCGGACAATTGTTATTTGTTCCAAATCGGAACCGGATTTCGGTTCCCGATCCTCATCACATCCCCAGCCACAGCCGTGGTCTTAACCGGTCTTGACATAAAATCTCGAGTCCTATAGGTCCGATACAGAGACAATACGAAACCAAATGCAGTCGATTCCGAGACCAATACCGTTAAAAAGTGGTCTGGAGACCGGTCTCGAGTACAACACCAGCAAATATTCTCATACTAATGATTATTAATGATTATTCCCCTCTCTTCTGATACCAATACTGTGCCGATGAGAAAGTGTACTGTAACACTCTCCAAACTACTGTAGGAGCGGAATCATTCGAAAAATATAATATAGGATAATGCTATACAATGCTAACGGAGGCGAGACGTACGTTATTCACGCGCTTATCCACACGTACGTTATCAACACGCATATCTAAGATAGCACTTTCTAAGCTACGCCGCCGCCACGTGAGCGCGTACTTTGAGCGCGTACTTTGAGCGCGTACTTTGAGCGCACCTATGATACGTCGCCGTGACGTCTGACGTCTGACAACGTCGTGACGTCGCCTGAATTGTACGTCAACCCATTCAAAATTGATGGAGGCGTTGGCGCACATTGACACGTCAGTTCTCCGCTCAGTGAGCTTAGTTATCTGTTCTTTGGCACAAATCACACCTCATATTGTTTGGGATTGGGCCATACACACGCACTTTTTTGGCCCCCCCACTTCTAAAATGAATCCGGCGCGCCTGACTGCAATCCAAGACTTAATTAAATTCACCAAAAACCTGACATGACGACAACGAGTGTTTTTCAAAAACATAAATAGATGTGTGTCTCTGAGCCGCAGCGACACGGACTGATTCAGAGCGGGTCATTCTCCTTTTGGTTCTGGACTGGTGTTCTTGTGTTGGTGGATGAAGCAGACTGCTGTGTTTGGAGCCGCTGTGCCGCTGTCACTTCTGTTCCCTGATCTCTGCGTCACCGACCGATTTGATATTCGTGTGACAGAAAAAGAAAAAAAACGTTATTGTCCAGCCGCGGCCGGAAGATCAGGAAGCAACGTTACTATGCTATTATGTTCTGTCCCTGCATCGATGCAGAATCGTTCACGTCCGCATAACGATGCATCATAGAAACGATTAATTTCAACACCCCTACTCTCTCTATCGGAGCCATGGATAGCCAGAAGCTTATATATACTGTATATAAACATCTAAGTTTTTCGTGCCCCACCACTTTTGTACATATAGAAACGCCACGGGACATGTGTGTAGTAACGCGTGTTCTTTGCATTTGATTGTTCTCTTTTATCCTTTCGCCTCTATCTACTTGTCTTTCATCCTTTCTTTATAACTAATGATGTTGATGTGTTGTGATTTGAAAAAGGTGTCCATTATCATCTGGCCGGGGACAACAGCTGGAAATTAGCAATGTTGGCTAAAGCTGCCCCATTTACTGTTTTTTGTGACAGTTGATCAATGGGGACTG